CCCCAAAACCCCAAAACCCCAAAACCCCGAAAGATAAAATTATATCGAAGTAAGTTGAATAGTATTAGTATCAAATAATTTGCTTAAATAAATTTCGAAGTAAAGAAAAACAGTAATTCTCAATGGAACTGAAAAATAAGAAAATATAAGGACTTTTTGGAAATGCGAAAAAGTCTAAAGTTATTAAAGCCTTGTCTTAAAAGAAAGCTAGAACATGGCAGCAAATGCTGTTTGATTCATTAAAATCATAAGATGTTTATGGAAGAAAAGTAGAATTTACCTATAAAGGATAGAAGAGATATAAAACATTACTAGGAGCCATTTTTACTCTCGCATAAAGAGTTGTTATTTCAATTTTTATCATCTTCTAGCTTTATTTGCTCATTTCAAAAAAGCATCCTCGGACTCATACAAAGAACTTGATATAAGGCAATGATAATATGAGTAAGATCAATCTTTGGTAATAAGGCTTTGACATTGGCTTTAAATTATAAGGCTAGGATTCTCATCTCTTTGATGAAACCTTTGGATCATTTAGAGCTGAAATGATAAGGACTATCACTAATTTTTCACAAACGTACTTAAATAATGAAAATGAAAAATAATACGCTCATAAGTCATAAATTACATATTTGAATGTAACAAAGTGCGAGGAAAACTCTTTTGAAAATTTAGCATAATCTGAAAAAAATAGATAGAATTTGGAGGAATATTTCTGTGTTGATACATAAGATTTTAAAGATTAATTATTCATAGAAGGCAATATTAAAAGCATTTAGTATACTTATATAAGAATTTACTTAAATTTCTGTCAGGATGCTAATTTACAATGTAAAAATTAAGATGATGTTCAAAATTTTCTTGATAATATGAAGCTTTAATACATCTTTGTCAATTCAAATTTCGATTTCACAGATTATGAAAAATCTGTACAGCATTATATTGATGATTCAAATAGCATTACATTGCAGAAAAATAAGAAAAAGGATATTAATGTCAAAGTTAAATTTGCTTATTCTTAAAGGTATGACAATTTCTTTTCATTCTGGGAATATTATACAGACTATTTTTTTAAGATAGATGAGATTAAGCATGAGGAAAGTGTATTAAATTCTAGTACAGATGTGTAAACTATGGCCCAAATTAATATTAAATTAGATAGGAAAACTTTAAAGTATGTAAGATAAGTCGAGAGCATATTTGATGTCTTAGAATCAATTGGTGGTTTTAAGGAATCAATTTTCTCCATAATCTTTATCATGCTTATATTCTTCCAGGAAAGAATGTTTAAGGGATCATTTATCAAGCAACTATATCTTTATTAAGCAAGAACAAGAAAGAGAAATAGTATCCTTGAGGTATAATCCACTATAAATCATTAAATGAGTGATCTAAGTGTGGGGTAAAAAATCTAGATTTTAAATGATCCTTCGCAAAGAAGAGAGCTATTTAAAAAACGATTATTGTCCATGAAATAGTTCTCTCTTAAAAAGAAGAATGAATCTGATTTAAATGTCCTAGAAAGAATTGCTAATTCTAATTTCCTACAGGAAAACTAAATAATTAGAATTATAGATGAAATTCTCATTAGAAGTAGGTTTAAATATGGATTTGAGATGATTTTAGATTATCTAGCAAAATGCTTGTGTTTAAGGAGTTTGTAAAAGTTATCCAAGAATTAATCTTATAAAAAGCATTTTCTCTTTAAAAGAGGTATAGAAAAACTAGAATAAGAGTTAGATGTAGTCAATTTGCTAAGATCTATAAGATAATTAAGGCTTTTGACCTAAGTTATATTGCCATTAAGATCTAGACTGCTATTGAAGTTTTCAAAGAAAAATGTGATATTGACTTCATCATCATCTTCTGACTCTGATTTTCACAAAAATGACATTCTTAAATAGATAGATAATAATAAAAATTAATTTTTGAAACTTGCATCTATTGTGAAGATAAAGAAAGCATTATCTCACTTTAAATAACACCCCATGGATGATAATGACAAGGTTTTACTGAAAGGTATTTTTATTAAAAAAGCTAAAGACTTTCATGATGAATTACTTTAAACACCAATGCTACCTAAGAGTAATGAAATCGATGATAGTGAGCTAAAATCCAATACTAGTAACTCAAATAGATTGAATGATTCATAAAGACCTCTACAATAAAGAAAATCAAATTTAATCTCAAATTTAGAACTGATAACTCGAAATAATCATCTACCTCCATATTCAACTCCCTAAAATAAGATCGACGAAATTGATTCTTCAAAATATCAGTTACAAGATGAGGAAAATTTTTCAAAGTATAATAAGAGTAGAAAAATATAAAAGCAAGGTAGATCACTCATTAAATCTAAAACTACCAGAAATAGGAAATTAAAGGATTAAAAAGCGACCTCTGATGCAGTTAACAATTTCAACGATTAAATCTAAATTGATTAAGATGCAATGGTTGAAGAAATTGATAGTAATCGTAGTCAATGAATTAATTAATTTCTTATATTAACTTTTTTCCAAGAAAACAACCAATGATTTTACAAATTATATAAAATATTTTGTATCAAATTAAACATCCTCATTTGTTATATTTTTACTTAAGGGGTTTTGGGGTTTTGGGGTTTTGGGG